GCCTGCAACCCAGCAAATGGAGGTCTGTGCAGGAAGAACAGAGGTGTACGCAGACCCCCAACCATTTTATCTGCTTGATGTACAACACCCAGTAGCAAAGGCTGCAGACACATCTAGTCTAGGTTTTCCAAGCCCACCAGGACTTGCTCTGAAGTCAAGAGTGAAAGACAGCCAGATTTCATGAAATCTGTAGAGACTGCAGGTGAAAACAGTAAAGTGCTGGTAGAGAGCTATGTTTCAGTATTTAGGCACTGCAGCTTTGGCCACGGTCCCCCTCATGAAATGAATCAAAATGCCCTGCAACTATCTGCTGTACTCTTGAGTAGATGGCATTCTCTCTTCTGAAATGATTCCTTTTCTTTGAGGTTACAGAATCAACTATACAATTAATTTTTAACCTGATCCTTTTAAGAGCCATGAGCATCGCCAACTTCCTTTCTTATATCACTGTTTTTTTCAGAACAAGATCTGCAGTGAATCCATACTGACAGATCTCTATTTACTCTACTTTTCCAAGACAGCCTATTTATGCTTTTGCCAAGGGAGATCTGCAATGTCCACCTTAAACATTTTTGAAGGGCTTATCACCTTCCCTTCTAAGCAATGCAAACAGAGAAAGATTAATACCAGATGAGTCACTAAGAGGGTAAGGAATAGCTGGTTACACAGCTGAATTAAATCAGTTTCAAGGGAAGCAATCATTGACAGCTTGCTTAGACATAATTATATCTAGACCACAAATTAGCAGAACTTCACAGAAAAATCTGAAAGAAGAGAGCACTTTTACTGAACATGCAAGGAATGCATTGTGTGGGTGCTAAATATTGAAGTGGAGGCACGAACTGGATTGGAGATGAAAAACAAGTTAGTTGGCGAGACCAAAGAATCACAGAAAACCAGACCAACATAGCAGGAAAGAATGAGGAGCAGGGAGAGGCTAAACTGTGACTCACTTTAATAGTGAGAACAGGAAGCTAAGTCTGATGCGATGAGGACAGCAAACAGCAAAATAAACCAGGAGCAGCAGGAGATTATGATATTAGAGGTTTGTAGCTCTGGTGCTTTTGATGTCCCTGATGTGAAGCAACAGATGTGTTGAGGTATCCAGTGAGAAAGGTAATTGTTACAGATCACCCAGAAAGACAATTCAGAGGCTGTTAGAGAGATGTGTCAGTGGAAATAAAAGGAGGAATTCTATTCTGCTTTAACTCAGTCAGCCTGACATTAAATGCTTGTCCCATCAGGAAGCCCACAAGCAGTTCTTGAGCATTGATGCAGCTTGCAAACCATGCAGGGGATTAGCACAGGTGTCAGTGTCAAGAGATAAAAGCCTTCAAAGATTCTAACTCTATCAGTACTGGAAATTCCAGGGTTTATGGACAAATGCAAACCGGAAAATTCAAGACATCATACCTGATAACACAGTTTCCTCGATTGGAAGCAAAGATGACAATGGGGGAAATGGAAGATTCCAGTGCTCGGTGAAGGTATGTGAAACATTCAATATCCAGCATGTGCACCTCATCTACAAAGAGTACACCTGGGACTAGCTCTGCGATGCCTTGATCAATGTATTTATTTACCACCTTATTTATCTCTCCTCGAAGTTTGTCTGGAACAAAAAGAAACAGTTGTTCTGCTTGTTAACTATAGCTCTGTCAGAAAGGCTTAAAGCAAGTAAAATTCATGGTTTGGTATCTTACCACCATGGGGAAAACCTCTGTGACACTAGAATTCTGTGGCATTCAGTCCTGTTTTGGGACACAACTGTGCAACAAAATATTCCTACACTGAACTAGGGTGTTTCCCCTCACATGGCTTGTGAAAAACTACCATTTTTTGTGAGATTGGGGAGTTCAGTGGGGGGAAATCAGCCAAACCTCAGTTTAAAACATGAAACTTTTTTTTTGAAGTTTCCAAGCATGGCTGAAAAGAATGTCATTGAAAGAGTAAAATATTGCTACTGTTTAAGTTGTGTTTAACAAAAAAAGAGTGCTATATAAATGTCTGTGAGCATACAGAACTCAAACCTATGTGAGATGTTATGCTGATTAAATATGACATCAGAATAAGCAAAGTGACCTCTGGAACAGACAAAGTACTTCAAAAGATCACCGTTCATGTTTGGTACTGAAACAGACTTTGATCTAAATTTAAGACAGTCACTTAGTGAAACATCATTTCTTTCAAAGCAAGAAGGAGAATAGATCTTCCTGCAGATACTGCTTTTCTCCAATGAGCTGTAGGTAGGAAGAGCAGCAGTGCACTTAGAGCACCAAGTCACCTGACAGCTGCTGTAGAGGTGCTCAAATCAAACCACGGCTTTAGAAGTCTTTAGAAGTCTTAGTCTTTACAAGCTGTTTTTCTGCTCCACAGAGTTTCAGTGTGGTGGCTTCACGTAACAACACATCCTCACGGGGTTTTTTAGGTTGTATTTGCTGTTGCTGTTTGGTTTGGTTCTTTGTCAAAAGCATAAACCTCACACTTTGGCAGGAGTGTTCTGAGAAGGGGGATGGCATTGGTGTTCTGACCTCTTTCTCCCCAGGAAGCTGGGTGCATAGTACAGTATATGGTTTATCACTGTATGTATGAACCAGTAACATGCTGGTCTGTTTCCAGCTATTGCAATTCTAGCAGCTGTAGTGCTGCTTTCAGAAACCTGAGATTTATGAATGAATATTACACAGCCATTCATTTGGAGATGTTGCATGAGTAACCCTATTCTTAATCCTTTTCTAACCAGCAAACATATGTTATGTTGGTCTAAAAATACCATGCAGGATTCATACCAGTAATTTCAGTTTTCTTAGGCTTCATCAGTTGTCCCATCATAGAAAGGATGTCTTGCCCTCCCTAGGAAAAGAAAGTTACAGGTCAGCTATGAGAACACATACCTTGAGAATTTTATAATCGATTAAATAAGTTGTTTCTTGCAGTTAACTTGATTCTTCATCTCAGCAGTGGCTGATAACCTGTCAACGGTTAGGACTCTTCACTGCAGCAGTATACTAAACATCATCATGTAGTGATCTCCCCACTCTTTCTTTAGCTCTCTTCATTTGGACAGCATAGAAAACCAAATGAGATACCCTCTTTTAAAAAGGTTTTCACAGAGAAGGTCAAAGGACTGAAATTGTCAGGCAGCAAAGACTTGGACTGCCTGCATGCACAGCTGGTGCTCAACCTGTCAACACAGGAACAATTATTCTCAGTTACAAGACTTCTGAATAGCATGACTTTAATCAGAGGATTTTTTTGTTAGAAAAAAGGATATCTACTTTGAAATTGAGTAGATTGAGGGGTTGTAGAATCATACTGTAGAGATGTAAGCCTTTAAACCTGTATTGCTAGTGGCTTTTTATGACACAGATGGAATTCCCTCACCACAGGGTGTATGTTAAGATACAGAAAGGAGTAATTCTCTTATTTCAGGGTTTTTTTTTGCTGCAGTCTGTTAAATCTCTAGAGGCCTTCAAGGTGTAACACCTCCTGCTCTTCCTACAGTGGAATCTTTAAGGGTGATTTAGGACAGGTCAGCTTCCTGCTCCTTGATTATTCTAGTATCCATCACAAATCTGTGTCAAGTACTTTTTCTGTGAAGACTTCATCTGTGGTGTCATACCTGAGGTCGAGCATTGGCCACATCCAAGTCATGCAGGGTGACATCCTGAATAATTTCCTTTTTCTTGTGTACGTCCCCCTTTGGCAAGGGAACATACTCTTCAGCTTCAAGGTCAAATTCCGTGGCATAGATATCACACCTGCCTTGCCTCTGAGGAAAGCAAAGAAGAGAAACCCAGGTATAGAATTAGTTTCAGTACCAAAACCTTGAGTGACACGAAATTGATAAAGGGCTTAGTTCACAATTCCAGTCCTGACCAGCTTCAGCTGGCAATTCACACATCCCACTCCCTGCTTAGCAATGGGCATACCCTATCTACTGATCAAAGCTCAAAAACTCTATTGAAAACCCCAACATTTTCAGCTGTAAGAATATTCTGCTCCTCTCTCCCCTTCTTTTAACCATATGCAATTCCTGCTAAAGGAAAAATCTAGCAGATTAACTAGAGATTGGGAGAACTGTTCAAGACTCCTTTGTAGGTGGGTGATTTATTATATGATACAAAATATTACGCTCATCCATTAAACAGCAAGTATCACTGTACACTACTTTCTACATCAGATATGAAAAGAACGCTAACTAATGCAGTATTCCCTTCTACATGAATATATCTTGGGGAGAAAATACCAGAGCGATAAAAGAAAGATTAAATGCAGTGCACATGTCAGCCTGAAAATAACTAAAGTTGCTTGGTTTGTCCCCCCTTCCCTTAAGGATGTCTTGATCTTACAGAAAAGAAAACTCATCCAGACAGCATCAGTGATAGCTTCCTCACCAGATGACCTTAATTGTGAACCAGATCACTGTGTTCTTTCGGCACAAAAGAGAATTCTCTCTCCAGATAAGGAAAACACCAGGCTCTTTTATAAACTTCCATGTAACCATTGCATGTCAGTTAAGGTTAATAAATTGAAGAGCCTTCGGACAAAGGCAGGGAAAGGCCTGCAAGAACATATATACCTGCATCAAAGTGCAGAACTTGTCTTTTACCTTGACAGCTCCGCTGTTTGCTTCAATATAAATAACGTCACCGGTTTCCACTCGCTCCTTCTGCAAGCTTTCAAATATGCTGGGGTCCAGCTGGAGACAGGCAAATAGCAGAGGTGGTCAGAACAGCTCCATGGTGTTACGGTACTCAAGGAAAAGAAACTGAGTCTAAACTCACTCTCACCAGACAAAACTAAACTCCCTGCGACAATCCCTCAGGATTTTATACAGCTGTAACACTTGGAGTAGTGGGAAAGAATGAACCTGAAAAAAGGTGCACAGAACCTTTCTTACCAAAGAAATCTGCTCTCTGAAGAAAGTCATGGTAAGTGCCAGGAACATAATGATACCAGTTCCTGTCACAAAACGTGCCCGTGTGGTGTATATTTATCCCTAGGATGCGGCACTTCTCTTGCTTTTTAGCTAAACTTTACAAGCAAATCTGGCTATAGCACTGAATTATGCTACTTCTTTGGTCTTTATTCTCTGTAGAGCTGTGTGAGGGAGAGTGGATATGGAATACCTTAAATGCTTTTGTTTCTCTCAGTACATGTTTATTCAGTTTTGCTCTGCACTTGTTTTCAGAATGAGCAAAATGCAAGATGATACTTGACAACAAAGACACCTTTCAGCTCTCTCCTACTGTAACTGACAGGGAAATTGAACAATATTGACAGAGACTTGTACAAGAAAACAAAGGGAAAGTGGGGCTGAGCTGGCAACATACCAGCTCCATTTCCTGTTCCCTATCAAACATTCACTAGAGCACATCTCCCCATGTGGAAAGAAGGAATGTGACAGAAAGACCAATTTATGCTGAAGCAGGTAAGATTTCCCAAAACCACTCTCAAAGATTCAGTTGAGAATAAGGAAAACAAAACCAGACAAGACCTTTCCTGTACATTTGCTATCATGATTTCTGAGACCCTGCCATACATACCTTCAACTGTTTGGTTCCCTTTGCAGTTTTCAGTCCTATGATTACATGGCTGATGGTTTTGCCATACCCCCCCATAGGATTTTCAGTCTCACACGGAGTCAATTCTGTGACTTCTCCTTCATAAACTTCCTTTGTCTCTTTAATCCTCAACCCTGCAAGAATTGATTAGAATAGTTTCAGTACACAAATCAATGGCTGTACATCCTGATCTCTGAACTAAGAGAAAAGCCCTGCAAAGTAAAAAGACAGGAGAAAAAAGTAACTTCATAAAAACTTTACATTTTGGCAACTGAGTTAAAAATAACTGATTAACAGGTATTGTGTTAAAATCTGGTAAAATTAAGAAAAGGTTAATGCAGCATTTAAAATGTTTTTCAAGTCAAGAGCAAAAGGTGAGCTGGATTCATTTTAGCAGAAACTGCTATAATCTCAATTTGAAACTACTTTAAAATAGCTGACAACGACATCCTGTTTCAGAAAGGCAAGTAAACACCACAGTGTCTGGTATCTTCTAGTCACAACTACTGCAATTAACTAAGTTACTTTAAATTGATGAATAATATAGAACTGAGGATTTGTATATGGTTAGATTGTTCCAAAGGAAACCCACCATCATCACCACCAGCACTACAATTATGCAAACATTCTAATTCCATAAAAGTTCAAAGTACCCACATCTGACGAGACTCCATAAAGCATTTTATGAGACACACGCATGCCATACCAAAAATAAACAATAGGCTGTAACAAGATACAAGGAATCCATCCCGCCCAGTCCGAGGCTACTGGGACTTGATAAAACTTCCCTTGTTCCATAACTTTTCATTTTCCTTTGAAATAGACCAGACACTTCACCAGTCATCCTGAGCTGCTGAGAGGTGAATATAAAGAACTGAGGAACACGAGTCTGTCTCCCTCTACTGGACCCAAATTAAGGCTTGGATTTGAAATGAGATCACATGGCAATTTCTTGGTAAGAAATGCCTGCTTTCTCTCATTTAGCACCACATACAAATTCCTCCAGAACCTTCATTTCAGTAATTTTTTAAAATGTTTTTCAGGTATGCCCAAACATCAGACAAAAAAATGAATGAACCCTTGCGTTGTAAACCTGACCCAGACCAGACTGCATCACACAGGCTGCATCTGTGAGGAACATGAAGCAATTTGGGAACCTGTACAGGAGAACTGGCCATTCACGGGTTTGTTTTTCCTTTCTGTTGTGTTTGTAAACTTTCAGCACAAGCTTTATTCTGCTCTGAAAAACTGGAAGCCCATTTGTGTTTGGGCATACCTAAGCATATCTTCCAGCTTCATTTCACCTGAAAAGAATCCAATTCACACACTCACAGAGTCTGTTCCACAACACAAACCAAAGCCAAGTCAGTGAGGACAACCTAGAGACTTTCTTCCAAAGCATGCCTCTTAGCTAAACTCATGTTCTTATATAGATGTGTCTACAGAAAATATTTACAGATGAACATGATCTGAACAAAGGTAATTGATGCTTTGAACTTGCTGCTGATTACCCTTTGTTTTCAAATGAAACTTCATGTACCGACTACAAACCTTACTCTCAAAGGAGTTCTTAAAGAGAGACATCTCCTACTTACAAATCAGACACAAGTTTTGAGAAGGCAGCTTTGGGCTATTTCATGTTTCGGTTAGATAGCACTATATGGAGTTAAATAGTGCTTGTTTGATTTACTGGCAGTTACAGTTTGGAGACACGGGGAACAGATATGCTCTTTAAGTGGCTACCCAGCAGTTATTTTTTACTGCAACTGAGCTCTAACATTAGCTACTGTCATCATCCCTGCCAGCTGCTAATAAGCTCTATACAGGATTCATCTCTCTCGCATGAAGTTTTTTAACTCATACAATTCCATTTTCTTATTTCCCACTCCATCCTTTTATGTTTCTTATATATTACAAGATCTCTACCATAACCCCACACAGACCTTGGCCATGAGGCTACGTCAAGTCTGTTATTAAAAGACTCTTGGAAACAATGATTCTGTAAACTCAGTCACTCCTCTTTCCTTATACAATGACAAGTCCAAACCAGTCAAACTGTTGTTTCCAAGTAAAAAATTGATGTTAACATCTGTGATAATTTTGATGAGGTGGCTAAATCCCCTGAGAGTAAAATGCACAACATGGCAACAGATTACGTGTACAAAACCTGCTACAGGAATCGTACGAAACCCACCCACAAAGCCTGAAAGAATACTTTATGTACTGACTGGCATGTGAGCTGAAGCTTCTGTTGCACACAGTCACATTGACACCACACTCTACACACAAAATCATGCTTTTACAAACACACCCTTGTAAATTACTTATCAACCAAGCAGGGAAGCTAAAACTTAGCCGAGATTTAAACACAACTGTAAAGTGTTCCAGTACAACTACTGGTGGTTACTGGTCCTTTAAAATATTTCAGAGGAATTTCTGTTTTTACACTGATAAAAATATTCAATAAAGGCTGTGTTATGAAAATGTGACATGGAATTCAACAGAAACGAATAAAAGAAGTTCCATCTTTCATTAGCACTAATATTTGTTTAGAAGCACCTCCCTACTGACATTTGGGGAATGCAGGGAACTAACAATGTAGCTGGCTGTTAAACCTCAGGGAGTTAAAATACCGCTGTCTCTAGAAATGACAACATGGATGGCATAAGTTTCATCTGCTGGATCAGGTTTCCAAATCTCTGACAGGGAACTTCATCACATCAAGGAAATTTTGCAGACTGAGTCTCTGGCTTCCCTCCCCCAGGCCCTGCCAGTTAGATGGTAACTGGAAGTACCAGACAAGACTGAGATCTGTTTTCTTATCAAAATCAACAGAATACTTTTGTTTCATTGCAGAACTGAGAGACGTCTTCACCTTACTGCCATCAAATATTTAGGTGAAGTTCAAGGAGAAACATGGTACAGAAACCAGTTAACTTTTAATATGTTCAGTACTACAATCAGCTCAGCTATCTTTAGCCAATCCTCATATACACAAGGGCCACTTCTAACTGCATTTATCAGCTGTCAGCAGCAACCACAGAAGAGATTTTAGATACTCCTTGAGCTTGTGTTGCAAATGTAACCAATTTCCATCACGCTTGTAAAAGCACTCGAGAATTGAGGAAGACATTAAAGTATTTATTTTGTTGGCATGAAACTTTCTTCGTGCTCACTGGACACTAAGTCAGGCTAACACTGCCTTTGGGAGCCCCTGATTAAGCCTGTTTGCTTGGCAGGGTGAAATCACCAAAATAAGAAAGGAGAGAGCACTTTTCTGTCTACAAACGTTTCTGCTATTATAAGAAATTAAAACCAGTTTTTCCTTCAGCTTTATTTAGAGTCATAGGTAAAACCAGGAGATGAACCCGGAGGATGAGAGGGATAACTGGGGAGGATAAAATAAACCATAATACAGTGATTAAATAATGGTTTATAAATAGAAATTCTGACTCCACTAAATAGGGAAGAGATTCACTAAATTAAGATCAGCACTGAAAAAGAGAACACACAATAATCTGAAAATCACCGTGACCACTGAGAAGCTTTTCCCTTTTAGATGACTACAAAAACCAAGGAAGTATCATGTAAGTACTTCATTCTTCTGTTTTGCTGAAACTTACCAATGGCCCGGCGGAAGTTTTCCATCAGCACTTCTGTTTTCTTGATCTCGGTGGAATAGACCTCGCTTCCAACCATAGGACAGAAGGGAACTTTGCTGCCTAGTTCCTGAGCAATAGCTAAAGCCAAAGCAGTCTTAAACCAAAAACAAACCCACAGATTAACTTTTAGGAGAATTAGCAAAGGATTCTTTCCGCACAAAGTTAACTCTCCTCAATTTACCACCTTCCATACACCAATTATCAGTTTAATATTAAGACTATTCTGCCTAACATATGTTTCTCACATGCAACAATGTTCCTCCCGCCAAGTCAAGTTAGACACATAAAAAGTGATTTTTATCAATGACTTATAAAACACCTTAAGAAACAACAGTGGGCATTTGAATTTGACATTTGATACAAATGCAAAAAACCTTAAATACCCAAACAAATGAAGAGCTATGTAGGCTTTTAATACAAAATTAACTTCTAAGACTCTTCTTCAGTGTTTGGTAACCTACAAAAGTTAGTTTGACGCTACTGATGCCTGAACACACCACTGGATACTGTCACAGTTAATGATATGGCAATAAACAACATATAAAGCAGAAAACCATGTCACTGCAGTGATGAAAGAAATGCCCCCAGGTGAAAAGAGGATGCAACCGCTCCCGTGGAACAGTTTTGACAACAAATTAAAATAAATAGGTTTAGGAATACTTCACTTCATATTAAAAAAAAACAAAAGGAAAGTAGTACCTTGCCAGTTCCAGGAGGTCCCGCCAGCAGCACGGCTCTGCCAGCCATCTTCTTGCTTTTGATTAGTTCCACTATAACCCCACAAGCCTACAAGTTCGATAAGCATTTATATTATTAACACAAGGATTGCTATAGTATCTTTCGCACCAATACTATTGAAAGTGTTTAAAAATACTTGGCTTTGTGAGCCCACTAAAGCCGATTTCAGTTCTATGCACACAAAAAGGGGAGACAAGATCAGGAAACTACTTCCTACAGTTATTTTATCTGACACGGATGTTAACAATAAACCAGAGACTACAGAACTCAACCGCAAAGCACAGGCTCCCTCGCCGCTCCTGGAGAAAAGGTTTTTCGGCTCTGAAAGGCGGATGAGCTGCAGCACCGGCCCCGAGCCAGCCAGCGGGCTGGGACGGGAGCTGCGATCCCCACTCGCACCAAATCTCTTGACTTTCGGTAAGTTCACTTGCCTCCGATACCCGAATTTCTACGCCTAAAACCCGGAGGGTGGGGGGGAGCACCCGCCCTTGCTGCTGGGTGATGCTAAGAAATAGCGGCGTAGGGACCAGCCCCGATCACCCCCATCGCTCCCCACAGCACACGGAGCAGCCCAGGCGACGGCTTTCTCTCACTAACGGGACTTTTAAGCACACTCCGCACAGACCGAACCGGCCCCCCCCCGGGGTTCCACCTCCACCCGGGGCCCCCCGCTCACCTCCCGCGCATTCTCCTGCCCCACGAGCCCGGCCCCCGCCGGCTTGGCGGTGCCGCTGTCGTCCAGCCCCAGCCCCTTGACGTGGCTGTGCGCGGCGATGCGCTGCGTCTTGGAGGTGCTCTTCACCTCCTCGATCTTCATGGCGAGTCACGCCCGTTAACACCGACCCACGATCACCACACGCGGCCCGCGCGTTACCAAGGCTCCCGGCGCGCGGCCGCCTAAGCCCGCCCCACCGCGCTCATTGGCCCGTGCGGCGACGCTCTCGATGCTCATTGGACGCGGCTCATGCCCGTCACCCGCAGGGTGTGTATCTTAATAGAGTCCGACCACCCGTTTCCGTGTGCGGCGCTGCCCGAGGGTTCGGCTGGGCGCGGGCGCTGCTAAGGAGTCGGGCCGGGAGGAAGGAGGCGGCAAGGGCCGAGCTTGGCCGGGAGGGGGAAGAAGGACACGGACCCTCATGGAAGGGAAAAGGAGCTGGTTCTCGCTCGGCGGATTTCTTGGCCCTACAGCGACATAAACACCTTCTGCCTTCGTTGGATCTGGGTTGGTGCTCAGCCAGTGCTTCTCCTTGTGCTTCCGTCTCCCTCGGTACTCGGGCTTCCTGCAGTGGGCCAGGAACTGTGAGCAATGCTTTCTGGACTCCTCTGCTGGTTTTGGCTTACGAAAATAACTCAAGATGTTACGGATTTGTTTTTCTAAGTCTTTGTTGAAAAAAGAGTAAGGGCTGTCCTCCAGGTAACAGCAGTGTTGCTCACTGACTTACAGCTTTCAGTGCAGTGGCAAAATAATCCTATTCCACGTGCCCAAAGCCTTTATGTAAGCATCAGAGTTTCTAACATCTGCTGTACCTATGACATGTGTTCATCCTGACCTGCTGAAACTGATTGTGAGTTTTCATTGTGCTGAGGTGCTGGCACAGGGTGCCCAGAGAAGCTGTGGCTGCCCCATCCCTGGCAGTGTTCAAGGGCAGGTTGGACACAGGAGCTTGGAGCAAGCTGCTCTAGTGGAAGGGGTCCGTGGCAGGGGCTGGAGCTGGAGGAGCTTTAAGGTCTGACCCAAACCAGTCTGTAAAATGGGCAGGAATGCTCCACCTTCTCATCATG